CGGACGATGTCGCGGGGAATAGTTAGTATTATAATAAAATATTTTCTTTTCTTTGTAGTAAATCTTTCCTTCCTTGTAGACGGTTTCGGTAGAGGACAATCTCTTATCTATTTCTGTTTTCAAGAATTTAGACGTTTCTACTAGTAATAGATAGAATACCTTATTTCACCTTAGTCCAAAGGTATGACGACATATCTGCATTAAACAATCGAGGATAGATGTAGGTGTGTATGGGCTACAGCATCCAGTTACCATCAGATGGGTTGTGTGCTCTCTTTTTTTCCCTACTTCTAATACTAATTTACTTCTAAACTACTTCTAATTCTTTTTTTAGAAAACTCAATACAGGATTTTTGGAAGTGATCTTCACAGATTCTATTGTGTGGCCTTTTTATAATCAAAAGTTTTTGAAAGATCTTCTCGTCCGACAGCTTTTAACCACTCTTGTCATCTGAAATAATAATGGAAAAAAAAAACATGAATCTACGTATTTAATTTATAAACGTAATTATTCAATTATAAACATAATTAAAATTACTATTCAATCAGTTATAGGTAAATAGGTACTACGTTTTCTTTCAACGTTAAGGTATATTACCTACCACATTAAAAATAATAAATTATACTTAAGTTACTACTTACCTAGTGGAGTCTTTGGGATAATTGAAAAATTATTTTTTTATAATAATTTCTTGCAGTCTTCTTCATTGCAGTCTTCTAGGCACTGAAAACGGTTTTGTAACTCGAGCTGAAAGGTTTCGGGACTTTGGAACAGAGCACGAGGGGGACGGAGCGTTGACTTCATTAGACGAGACCTCTCCAACTTAACGTTTAGGTTCAGTGTGCCTCTAACCATTCGGTGATCGCTACCAGTTTTCACCCTCGCGATCACGGAGACATCACTGAACAGTTGTCGTCTGGTCGTCATAATGAAGTCAATCTCATTTTTTGTCGAACCGTCGGGGCTCGACCAGGTCCACTTCCTGTGGGGCCGCTTCTGGAAGAAAGAGTTCATCATAAAGAGTCCCTCTTTCTCCATGAAGTCGGCCAGCTGCTGGCCCCTTGGGTTCCGTTGCCCTATTCCAAATTTCCCTACTTTCAGCTCACCGTTCTCTCTTGTGCCTAGTTTTGCATTGAAGTCTCCCATTAACACCGTATATTGGGTTTTGGAGGAATGCATGGCTCTAGAGATATCCTCATACATTTCCTCCACCTCCCCATCGGGGTGTGCCGAGGTTGGTGCGTAAACCTGTATGACCTTCACCGAATACTGTTTGGTGATTCTGAGTATAAGGTACGCAACCCTCGTCGACACACTCCCGATCTTTACAACGTTGTTAACGAGAGACTTGTGGACGATAAATCCGACACCTCCTTGGGACAGATGGTCGCCCTCCCGGTGATAGAGCAAGTTGCCGGATTCGAGGATTACCGTGTCCTCCCCCTCTCTTCGGACTTCGGATAATCCTATAATATGTATAATAATATAATATGTATAATACGGTATGAACATCAATGGCGAGTACATCACTCACCTTCGATTTGCCGACGATATAGTCCTTATGGCAGAATCGCTGGAGGACCTAAGCACTATGCTCAATGACCTCGATAGTGTTTCCCAACGGATAGGTCTTAAGATGAACATGGACAAAACAATGATCATGTTCAATGTCCATGTCACACCTATGCCGGTAGTTGTTGGGAACACTAAGCTCGAAGTTGTTGACGAGTATGTTTACCTGGGACAAATAGTCCGACTAGGTAAGTCCAACTTCGACCGAGCGGTCAATCGACGGATTCAACTCGGCTGGGCAGCGTTCGGGAAGCTACGACACATCTTCTCTTCAGACATACCTCAAAACCTGAAAACGAAATTGTACAACCAGTGCGTGTTGCCAGTGATGACTTATGGAACTGAGACGTGGTCCTTCACTGCTGGCCGTATGAGGAAGCTCAAGGTCGCTCAGCGAGCTATGGAGAGGGCTATGCTCGGAGTTTCTCTGCGTGATAAACTTAGGAATGAGGATATCCTCAGTAGAACCAGAGTAACCGACATAGCCCAACGGATTAGTAAGCTGAAGTGGCAGTGGGCCGGCCATATAGCTCGAAGAACCGACAACCGATGGGGAAGAAAGGTTCTCGAGTGGCAGCCTCGTACCGGTAGGCGAAGTGTAGGGCGTCCCCCCACGAGATGGAGTGACGACCTGGTAAGACATGCAGGAAGTCGATGGATGCAGGTGGCTCAGGACCGTGCTTTGTGGCATTCTTTGGGGGAGGCCTATGTTCAGCAGTGGACTTGTGAAGGGCTGTAATGATGATGATGATGATGATGATGAATGATTTCTTATATTTACGCGAACACTACACTAACTAACTCTCTTGTTTTAAGAATCGGTAAAACTACTTTTACGGATTCTTAAAACCCGCGTAAAAAAACACATAGCTGGCGTGAAACAAAATGTTCCGGGAAGTCTGCAGTTTGTGATCATATCCTAGATGGCCCCCGCCATTACATTAGATTTGACAAACCACAAATTCTCGCAAAAATACATCGATTCCTGCCAAGGATGATACGTGAGGCTATTGAAATTAAAAAACGTCCTAATTTCAATAGAGAGGGAGGCTGGGTTACTTCCACCTGCTTGGGATGCTGTAACTAATAAAATTAAAACTAAACCCAAGCATACCACTGCAAGACTTCAAGACAGTAAGTTCATTCTGCGTAGATCGGACCAAAATTAATAATTAAATTAGCTGAAGGTACTCCGGGTTAACTTCGGGACGTCAATCACCTCAGTCCCCCGTGAGCCCGTGACAATTGGTGCTGTAAAGTACCCGAAACGTCGGGAATTAATAAAAAATAAGTTAATTAAACGCGGTAGAATCCGTAAAAGTAGTTTTTTTTCAATGATTTTTTTGTTCTATTATTGTGCATACAAACAGTACAGTACTTATCTTCACGCACAATCCCTGACGGGGTAGCCAGAGAGAACAGATCGCCAAGTGTCACGATCCTTACATATCTCTTTCGCTTCTTTCAGATTCATTATCTTCTTCATACATGCACGTCTAGGTATCCGAGTACTCTTGACCCTACCCTCTTCGAGCAATTTGCTCACATGGTCTTCGAAAGTTAGTCTCGGTCTACCTCGACACCTTTTAATATTAACTTTCGCGCTATATATTTTCTTCAAACAGTAAACCATATTTACACTTTTTGATATTTCATTTGTCTAAAATAATATAAATAAATGCATAATTATAGGCTATAAGACGTTCTAATAGTTCTCAAGGATAACGACATGCGCCTTTTTTGTTTAGAGTTTGCAAGAGTGCGCTGTAGAGTCGACTATACCTAAACTATTTAGATTTGTTGAAAATAATTGGAGACTAGTGAACAGCGCATCTAGTGTTTTGATTAATGGACTCAGGGGTCTACCTACGCGAAATTTCACGTCACTAAATTGAGGATGTACTCTACTGGGAGATAAATGAAAGTCCTTATGCGGTAGAGTACATATTGTTCTGTATATGAATATTTTAATTCCTTCACTCAGTAATATATTCTTGGGGCGATGTATACGTTTTTACTACAAAATTCTAGAAAATATACAAAATTTGATCTACTCAAAGTTAAAAACTTTATTAAACTAAGTTTGTATAAAAAGGGTTATTATAATATTAATGAATTTATAGATGATAATAACCCCATGGTAATGAGGTGATCGCTACCAAGCTATTTCTAATTTGTTTTGTGTGGTTAATTGTGTAACATACATGATTGTGAGCTGTTTTAAAAAAAAGTCCCGCTGGGTTTCTTGCTGGTTATTCCCAGGACAGAGGTTTTTTTTTCGAACCAGTGGTAATTAAATAAAAAAGGAACTTTCAATAAGTATTATTTATAATCTATATTGAATAAAAAAGTTTCTGTTTCTGTTACAGACATATTATAATTAACACTTGAATGAAGAAATATCTATGCGTCTATGGGCCACACTGTCCATGTACCATCGGGTAAACTGAGTACTTGTTTGTCACTTTTATTCTATACTAGTTGTCCCGCGCGACTTCGCCCGCGTGGAATTTATTGCTATTTCATGGGTTTTAATTTTTTTTTTGCGCGGAACCTTTATTCCTTTTCTAAAATAAAAGTATCCTTAAGTTAAGTCATTCCTTATAACTTCAGCTATCTGTCAGGGAAATAACCGTCAAAATCGGTCCAGGCGTTTCGGAGATTAGCCGGAACAAACAGGCAGACAAAAATTTTAAAAATTATTTTTTTGTTATTAGTACTGTATATACTTTCATATGCATATAGTAAAAAGCTGTTATTTTGACATTACAAACAGACACTTCAATTTTATTTATTTGTATGTATATGTGTAGATAAGACTAGTAGCTGTACACTGGCGATGTATGAGCATTCATTACCCCATCACATTCCATGGATGTTAGATTAGTTAGATGCGACTATTAGATATGTCAAAATCTTTTGGCTTTATATAGATATCAGTACCTATGACCTTCTTTTTAACCGTTACAGCCTAATAAAGCCCACTTTTGAACATGGGCCTCCCCATAGATTGCTTCATAGGGGGGATATTTGTCGTAGTTGTCACACTTGGCAAGCGGGTTGGTGAGCGAAGTTTTTTTTATTTTTAGTCGTTGGAAGACGCTGCTGCCCAACTCCTAATTTGTTTCATTCTGTCGCCTGTTACGTCACCCATGGGATGATATGGGGTAGTGGATATAATTACAACGCCACTACACGATAACTTCTTGTTAACCCAGACCTACGACGGACGTCAAAGATGCGAAACGGTTGGTATTGCGTAAAGCAAACGTATAGGTGACTACTATGGGAGAGACTCATGTCCAGCAGTGGAATTTGAAAGGGCTGACGAAAAAAAGGAGAAGCTAGTTATAATATATATATTTTTTAAATTAGACACTGTTTTTGTTTCGTTCAATTGTTTATTTTTTTTCTCTTTTGTCACCAGGTCACGAGAACTGTACATTCCATCATGATCTGGAACTGGACCACAGGCCGCCCACAAGAGAGGCTCTGCTTCCCGACATGGCCAACTCCTACAGACTGCTTCTCACAGGTATACTATATAGTGAATTTTAAATTATTTTGTCCTTTTCTTACAGTCGGAATACAGCAATAAAATAATGTTAAAGAAAGAAAAACAAAGGGAGAACAATTTAATCTTTTACTACGTGGTAGTGCTGTAGCTATATTAGTAGTATAGTTGTAGCACGAATGGTTCGGAGACCAGAGAAGGGCTACGCTCTCACAGAATACCAGCGTAAAATAGCAGCTGCTGTGTTTCGTATGGTGAGTGTAGAGAACTGGAGACCCCTTTTACTTGAAACGAGGCATTCCATCTTCATCCTCACGGGTGACAACGTATCTACATTTTGATTCTTTATTGAGGATAGATGTAGATGTCTATGGGTCACAGCAACCACTTACCATCAGGTGGACTGTGTGCTCGTTTGTCATCCTGTCCTATAAAAAAATCTGTTGTAGCTTCGATCTAAACCAACATATCAAATTACATTTTTTTAAACAAATGAAATCAGATGCAATGTCACCCCTGGGGATTAAGATGGAATGCCTCGTTAATAAGTAATAATTGCTTTTGGGATAATATAAAAAAAATTAGCACGTATTTTTCTGCCGACTTCCAAAAAGGCGACGGTACTCAATTCGCTTGTATGTTTTTTTTATGTGTACCTCATAACTTTTTACTGGGTGAACCGATTTCGACGATTCTTTTTTTATTTGAAAGGTGGTACTTTTCATGTGGTCTCATATGAATTTGATCAAGGTCAGACCAATAGTTTTTGAGTTATTCTTAATAACTGTACAAAATTTTTAATTTTAAATTATTTACATTGTCATTAGATTTCGAGCTATGTTCAAAATTTCAAGTCTTCTAGCTCATCGGGAAGTTAGTTTAAAATCAATAACTAAATTCGACCCGAACAGACATAATACATATACATAGAACATACACGAAAGTGAGTTATTAAAAACGTGGTGAAGCCATGCTGCAGCTATATTAGTAGTATAGTTGTATGCACGAATGGGTCGGCTCGACAGGGGAGGGACCACGCTCTCACAGAATACCAGCGTATAACAGCAGCTTAAAACTGCTGTGTTTCGTATGGTGAGTGTAGAGAATCAGAGACCCTTTTTACTGGAAAAGAGGCATTCCATCTTAGTCCTCACGGGTGACAACGCATCTGCATTTTGATTCGCAAACGAGGATATATGTAGATGTCTATGGGCCACAGACTGTGTGTTTGTTTGTCACCCTATCCTATAAAAAATGGTCAGGAGGACAATATCATTATTTTTTATCACAGTTCTATAAGATAATATCTTGATTTCAGGTTTAGGAGAGGACCCCGAGAGACAAGGTCTACTGAAGACGCCTGAACGGGCGGCCAAGGCTATGCTGTTCTTTACCAAGGGCTACGACCAGAGCTTGGAAGGTATCTTTATTTATTAATTCTATTTCATCTTCCTTTGTTTCGTACCTTATGGAAATAATAAAAACAAAGCACAGACTTAATTGTCTATGCATTCTCTATCGGTCAACACTGGATGTAGTGAGAATTTGCGGGTAGTGCAATAAATAATTTTATAAAGATTGAATAAATATGTAATCTGATTTATTTATATGGGATAATGGATAAGAGGCAACAGAGGGAAACAAAACAGAAGATGGCAGCAGCGTCTACGTAATAACAACTAAAAAATAAAAAAACTGTGGTTGCCAACCCAACTGTCAAACGTGGCAACTATGGCAAATATCCCCCTATGCGACAATCTATGGGAGGCCTATGTTCAGTTGTGGACTTTTAATAGGCAGTAAGGAATGAATGAAAATATTATTAGTTTGTATTAGGGATTACAAAATCTTAAACACGTATGATAAACACGTTCATGAGCTGTGATGATCCTAGTGAAAACTCTTATAGTAATTAAATTGTTGTATTGTATCCGGCAGACATCCGGATGGGGGTGATTAACAATTCTATCAGGTGTATTTTGCAATATACGCCCAAATTTGCGTAGAAGGTTCAAAACAAGTATTATAGGCGAATGGTGAAGAAAAATTAATTAAAAAGAATCTCATATTCTGTCATTTTTATCGTTTAAATTCAGAATGCGTGGTAATTCACACTGTTAACTGATTGTCATTCATAAATATTTGACGCCTTTTATTTTACTACGCACGCACACATTCGTAAGAGTCGATCGGTCGGCAAAAACGTTGTGAATTGAATCGTACACAGAGCGTACGCGTAGTTGTCGATTTGGGATAGTTTCAAATAAAAGTAGAAGTACTCGTATTTTCAAAAACTGCAATAATATCATTATTTATATATTTAAAATATAAAGTTTGGATACTCTAAAAGAATAACCCTGTATATAACTATGAGTGACGTAAACGGTTTGTTTTTCCAGAGGTACTAAACAATGCGATCTTTGACGAGGACACAGACGAAATGGTGGTGGTAAAGGATATTGAAATGTTCTCAATGTGCGAGCATCACTTGGTGCCGTTCTACGGGAAGGTGTCTATTGGCTATTTACCACAAGGAAAGATTCTTGGTCTCAGCAAGCTGGCTAGGTAAAAACCTATTTTTCTTATTATAATTTAGTTTTGCTTGGTGGTAGGTATTTTATCTAAGTGGTGATACGGTGGGTAACACCGCCTTACCTATTCCTGCTAGTACCGTGCATCCAGGGTGTTCGAGGTCACGCTACGAAGCATACTGTCTTAGTCTACTGTAGTCAATATTTTTTCGTAAAGAAGAGGGGACTGCTCACTTGATGTTCATTAGTAACCTTAGTATTACGCCTGGCGTTTACAGGATGGTGTACCGCCCTCTAAAGGAAGCCATAACATTTTTCGCCTCATGTGACACTCGTGGGACGAAGTGGAGTTTAATAGGCTTCTCTCACACCACCATAACTGACTGCTAAGAAATCAACAATTTTAACGAAATTAGTCATTATTTATTATTTAATGATATAATTTGTTATTTAATGAAATTATTTATTATTTAATGATATTATTTATTATTTAATGAAATTATCTAATACTTAATGAAATTATTTATTATATAAAGAAATTATTTATTATTTAATGAAATTATTTAATATTGAACGAAATTATTTATTATTTCAGAATTGTTGAAATATTCTCACGCAGACTGCAAGTGCAGGAGCGTCTCACCAAACAAATAGCTATTGCGGTGACACAAGCAGTCCGACCAGCGGGAGTGGCAGTCGTCATTGAAGGAGTGTAAGTCACTTTTCTGTCTCAATCAATCTCTTCTTGTTTGCTACTTCCTCTCCTTGATATTAGAATAGAATAATATAATTTTCATTAATTTATACATTACAGCCACTAAAAATCCACTACTGAACACATAGATTGTAACTATGGAAAATATCCCCCATATTTGCCATAGTTACCAACGCATAACAGACGGGTTTTCAACCGCAGTTTTTTATTTACCAGTTGTTATTAGGAATAAGCTGCTGTCCATCTCCTAGTTTGTTTCCCTTTTCGCCTTTTACGGCACCCACGACATCCACGGGAGGATAGGGTTTTTTTTATAGAATAAGGGTGATAGATGAGCACACAGTTCACCTGATGGTAAGTAGATGCTGTGGCTCATACACATCTACATTAATCCTCGATTAAGATTCAAAATGCAGATGAATTGTCACCCCCGAGGACTAAGGTGAATGCCTCGTTTCCAGTAAAAAGGGTCTCCGGTAAAAGTTAGTGGATATTCTTATTAGAACGATACTTTAAGGTCAGTATAGGTTATAAATCATACTTACGCCTATGTCTAATAGGCTGGTACTGATGATGATGATGAATACTTACTACGGAATACCATCATGAAACAGCAGCATGATGTTGCTGTGTTTCGTAAAGCGAAATAACGAGATAGTCCATCTTAGTTGTCATCCCTGAGGACTAAGATGGAATGCCTCGTTTCCAGTAAAAAGGGTCTGTTCTCTACACTCACCATACAAAAACACTGCAGCATTAAGCTGCTGTTTAACGCTGATATTCTGTGAGAGCGTGGTCCTTCCCCGGTCGAGCCGACCCATTCGTGCTACAACTATATCACTAATATAGTTGCAGCATGATTCTACCACGTAAAAAATTATGGTTGTATATTGGCGGTGTAATAACTTACCTTTCATCTAATACATCTAATAGGTTAAACTCTTTTCGAAACATTTAGCAGGGATACAGTAAATAATGATAATGCAGATACAACTAGCTCCAACTCCTAAACGGATTGACTGTTTCACAAGCATCTATAATTAAATTACTCCCTTTCTTTAGACACATGTGCATGGTGATGCGAGGTGTCCAGAAAATCAACAGTAAGACAGTGACGTCGACAATGTTGGGCGTGTTCCGCGACGATCCAAAGACGAGGGAGGAGTTCCTCAACCTCGTACATTCCAAGTGAGATCGCCCGTTGCACTGGCATTCGTAATTCGGTTTCTGCTTCGTCATAGAAATATTATAAATTAATTGAATTTTGCAACTTTCTTTTAGGTTAAAAGTTTTGTAGGTGTGTTCGAAGTTTTCTTCTTGGTATATTTTTGGGTACATTTTCTTAAACTACAATATCGATGCACTAATTTATTTATTTATTCGGCAACATATTATTAGGTTTAATCAGAGATTTATAAAGTTTAAGTTTGACCCTGCTAACACTAATTATTTCGTCACATAACGATATCCGACCTACCTTTTTGTATCTGTGTTTTTGTCCCAATTTTTAATTTTTTTTTTCATTATTGTGTTGTTAAAAGTACAATAGCTGTAATTTATTTTAATAAGCTACTATTTCTGTTATTAATTCAAACTTTATTTTACAGTAATATCTTTGAAAAAGAACTAATACTATACATTGAGCTACACTTACGTTTTTAGTAATCATATAATTTAGAAATAACAGGTTTCATTGGCCACTTAAAGCCTTCAGCAATAAAAAGTTTTATGACGTTTTAAAAACAAATTCATAAACTATTGTTTGTAGTTCCTAAAATCATGTTAAAATTCAAAATGTATTATGATATTTCTATGATCTTACTTTTTGTTCATGAAGTTATTGAATGCTTTTCAAATTTACGGTTACATAGTTTCACGGTTCTATAATATGTAAATTATTTTAATAAGTTAGTTTATATTGTACAAATTTATTTAAAAAAAATGCACAGTTATTATTACATATTTTTATTTAATTTTCTGTGTTCAAAAACATATTTATAATCCGTGAAATATTATTTCCATTGAAAAAAAAATATCACAGTATTGTAATAGAGCGATGTTCCTTTTTCATAATTACTTTTTAAATCTAACTGCCTTTAGTAGAGTAATTTTTTAACCAACATTGATTTATAAGTACATTTTTTTCTTTAAATTTATTATAAAGATGTGTGATTACCATATTTGTTGAATTATTTGTTAGTAGAAAGACAATAAATTTCTATTTAAGTTTAATTCGCCCGAGAAATTCGACGATAATATTGCCCATGTCGTCGCATTTCTCGTCGGCCGGGTTGTAGAAGTTAAGATGGTTTACAGTAAGGTCATTGGGACGAGATAAAGAGTGTAACTTGCAGAGATGAGAAAACATTTTTGATTTTAAGGATCATAACTTTTACTAATAAATAATAAAATATCTGTGAGTTCAAACTCAGTATATAAACTGTCGTCGTATAAATGAGATAAGTTTGTACTTTCTACCGACTTAGAAAAGGAGCCGGTACTCAATTCGACTGTTTGTTTTTTTTTTATGTGTGTACCTCATAACTTTTTACTGGTTGAACCGATTTCGATGATTCTTTTTTTATTTGAAATCTGGTGCTTCACATGTGGTCACATATAAATTTGATCAAAGGCTGACCAATAGTTTTTGAGTTATCCTTAATAATTTATATTGAAGTCGGTTGCACAAAATTTTTAATTTTAAATTATTGTGAATCCTAATCAGTCCCATTAATCATGGAATTGCCTATTTCATTGACATCACATAACATGTTTGATAAATCAGATAAAAAAGTAATAATAAAGATTTAACAACAATCTAGTGGTCTAATGGTAAGGCAAACACTTAAAATAGAGTGGGTTCAAATCCACCATTCAACTACTGCGGTGAACCACGACTCTTAATACAAGCATTTTAAGATTACCTAGAGTCGTTAACGGAGGTATTATTAATGTTATAGAGTTACTAGGGTTCTGTCTAAAAAAAAAAAAATCAATGACAGTAATTTGACGGCTCCGTGGCGCAGTGGCTTACAATAATTTGTATGGCCTAAAAGTAATTGTCTCGGGTCTGGTTTGGCCTTGTGCAATTTATGTATGTGTACCACGATACATGAGAAAATCCTAGTGTGGGGATAAAATTTTATTTTAAAGATAAAAAAGGCACTGACATATTGCTCTACTATGTATTCGTCGCTTTTGACGTTATTGCGTTTGAGAGAAAAGGACGGATATATACTAATCGCTTGCAGTCGCAACACTCGTCGTACTAACACTTTTTAACACGTCTCGTTGGCCCTAATTTTGTACAAAATTTATTATTTTTGTAAGTTAAATTGTATGTCATTAGAAAAATTACGCGGACCAGTGTAAAAATGTCAAGCAGTCGATGGCTGATGCTTGATATTTTTGCCGTATATTTTTTGGCGTAATGGTTTTTTTGAACCGAAACTATTAATGTTGATTGATATTGCCTTAAATGTGAATATACGATTTTTATATGTTTAATGTTATACCAACTGTATAATTGAGACATTATTATTTTATAAATAAAGGTTTATATTTTAAGTTACGAATACGCATTTTTATTAATGATACCTGTTTATGCACGCAGATACACACACACACACACACACACACACACACACACACACACACACACACACACACACACACACACACACACACATACACACACACACACACACACACACACACACGCACACGCACACGCACACGCACACGCACACGCACACGCACACGCACACGCACATGCACACTACACTAATGCAAGAAATATATAATTATCAGAAATGGGCCGATCATGGGTCATGGGTATGTTTATAAGACAATTATTGTGTTTACCAATAAATATTTCTTATCTTATGTTGCTACACTATGTAGAAACTAGAAACTATATTTAAATAAAAAATTACTGTTTGTTTGTTCGTATTTTATACGCTGCCATACTGTTCATCATATTGCGCTAAAACTTTGTCAACTTATTGCTTGCATCATCTATTTTCTGTGATGTTGGTGCAGTTAGACTATACGGCTCATACAGCTTTATCTGACACGCTATTTAAAAATGGGAAAGACAATGATGAGGATTAGGATGATGTTGGTTTATGATTTGGTACTGTTACCACTCATCAAGCCCCTTCTCTCGAGGTTTAGGGAGTGGGGGTGTGCGTACCCCCACCTCCGACTGCTTAGCTCGTAAACAATATAACTCTTCCAAATTTAAAACGATATTTGCACAATTATTTCTACTGTGGCAGCAACGCGCAGGCTACCAGCTAGTTCTATAATAAAATCCTTTCTTGCTGTAAATATATAAAAATATGTTTCGTTTCTTAACCCAAACACCACATTATAACATTATCAATGTTTGTAAATCAAGTTATTAAATCGAGTTACTTATAAACAGGCACACATTTTTGGATACCTTTTATCTACTGTTCTTGTAAATAATAACTACAGTGTTTCAAAAGCGTAAAGCTACACAAAAATTTATTTACCTTATGAAAACAAAACACAACTATGTAAGACTACCTTAATCAATCATGCTCATTCACACAAAACTCAATACTTACATCTAAATAAATATAAATATCGGCTTCTCGGTTGGGCAGCGTTTGGGAAATTACGGCACATCTTCTCGTCAGGTATACCTCAAAACTTGAAAACGAGACTGTACAACCAGTGCGTGTTGCCAGTGATGACCTATGGAACTGAGACGTGGTCTTCACTGCTGGCCGGATGAGGAAGCTCAAGGTCGCTCAGCAAGCTATGGAGAGGGCTATGCTCGGAGTTTCTCTGCGTGATAAACTTAGAAATAAGGATATATATATATATATATATATATATATATATATATATATATATATATATATATATATATACCAGAGTGACCGACATAGCCCAACGGATTAGTAAGCTGAAGTGGCAATGGGTCGGCCATATAGCTCGAAGAACTGACAACCGATGGGAAAAAAGGTTCTCGAGTGGCGGCCTCGTACCTGTGGACGAAGTGTAGGGCGTCCTCCCACTAGATGGAGTGACGACCTGGTAAGATATGCAGGAAGTCTATGGATGCAGGTAGGTCAGGACCGTGCTTTGTGTTTCCTTGGGGGAGGCCTATGTTCAGCAGTGGACTTGTGAAGGGTTGTAATGATGATGATGAAATATAAATATATCTTTAGCACTACTTTGCCGCACATTCGTTAAATTAGCCGAATATTCGGCCGAATACAAATACGAACAACCATAAACGTACTGACCAATATGTCGAATACTGAATACCGAATATGAAACAAATATTCGGCCCATCCCTCATAATTACACAACCTGAATTTATAATTGCAAATATAAACGGCGATCGGGAGGCGCGCAATTCCCATGACACCAATGTAACGTCTGAGGGAGGGTACCAGCGCTTAATGGAATCATAGTCCCGTGTATGCAAAATGTGATGCCTATTCTTTAAATTCAATTAAGATTAAGCATTTTGTCTATATGTAATTTTTTTCCAACTATTCATTTATAATAGAAAAGAATAAGTAAAAATTACTTCTTTTGCAACTTTTTCTTCAGTCCTTACAAGTCCACAGTTTGACATGGGATCCTCTCGCAGTAGAGAGATATTATGTTTTTGATGAAGATGATTTGTTTTTATAGATTAAGGGTGACAAACGAAAATACAGTCAACCTGATGGCAAGTGGTTAATGTGGCCCATAGCCATCTACATCTATTATCAATTAAGAATCATCACCCCTGAGGACTAATATGAAATAGCTCTTTCCCGTGAAAAGAGTCTCTGGTTTCCTACACTCACCTTACGAAACATAGAAGCATGAAGCTGCTATTTTATGCTGGTATTCTGTGAGAGATGGCTCTACCTATTCTGTGGCTCTACCACGATTCTTAATATATGTTTTCCATGTTATATACAAAGTTTCACAAATGAACGAGTAGTAGTTGCTAAAACCATGAAATCAACAAAATTAAACAATGTCAGCAGAAAACCTGCGTGAAACAGCAGCTTAATCCTGCTGTGTTTTGTATGGTGAGTGGAGAGAATCGAAACCCTTTTAACTGGAAACGAGGCATTCCATCTTAAAACTCTGGGGTGACCATTTTGATTCTTAACCGCGAATTAGCCGGCTTTGTAGACTATCAGAGAGCTAAAA